AGAGAGAGAGAGAGAGAGAGAGAGAGAGAGAGAGAGAGAGAGAGAGAGAGAGAGAGAGAGAGAGAGAGAGAGAGAGAGAGAGAGAGAGTGGGGTGAGGGAGAAAGCTGCGCTGTCGAAAGTGACTCTGACATGTGCCGCTCCATTTCTTTTTTATGCTTTCCAGGGAATGTTCCAACACACATGGCATGGCCAGCGTTACGGCTCGCATTAGAACGCTACTTCAGATGCATGATCGAATGACCTAGTATATATATATATTCTGTATGTACATCCAAGTCGGAGGAAGCAATCTGTGTGAGCCCCCTGTATCTATCCGTGGTACATCGGGTGGGTGGTTGATTGTGTGACTCGATATACGCTCATATGTCCTGCTCCTACTGCACGTCATTCCTGCCATCCTTGCCGTCCTTGTCATCTCATCGTCGTCATCCTCAGCGCTGGATGCAGGAAGTGGTTAACCTCAGCGGTGGATGCCAGAAGACGGTGACGAGGCTGTTTTGTGTGGCAAGGCAGCGCCGTCATGACCAAGCGGGGGGTTGGGAAGAGTGGCGGGCCTGGAATAGTGAGCAAGCAACGTCCTCCCGATGTGCGTGAGGGATCAGATGCCCCAGGGGCCTTGACTCCTGGGAAGAGGGTGTTTCCGTCTTTGGTTACTCTACCAGGAGGGGACGGTGGGCCCCAGAACAATAGCTCAGAGGCTAGTGGCAGTGCCAGTGGCTCGCGCGTGAAAAAACTGGCTGTCGAGGCGAAGCGGCGAGGCAGGGCAAATGCTGTATCCAAGAAGGTCGCTTCTTCTTCCGGGGGGAGCAAGAAAGTGGTGGGTGATGGTGATGATGAGGATGGCGCACTGGATGCTGAGGCAATGTCACTTGAGCTTGGAGACGAAGGATGTGTCATTTCGTCGTCTAGCTTGACTGTTGAGGAAGTCATCCTAAGACGAGCGAAGCGGTTTCGCAAGCTGTCGGAACTGTACAAGGCGCAGTATTGGGCATTGATGGAAGAGCTGCGGTCGAAGCGTCGAAGGTATTATCTGCTGACAGGGAAAAGTGGGTGGAAGACGGACGTCACTGTGACGACCACAGGGCAGGATGGTGAAGGGGAGAAGCAGGGTGGGAATGAGGGAGGAACAGGGGAAGAGCACTGCAGTGCTGTGGTTGTGCAGTCTGAGTCTGGGACTGGAGCGGTATCCAAGGTGGAGTACGGGAGCAGTGGCCAAGCTGGCAATGCAGTGTGTATGGCACCGGGGTGCCTCTCCAGAGTCCTGGCTCTCAGCTGCTACTGCCTGAGCCATATCGTACTGGATCCGGGTCAGAAGCTGTACAAGCCTTGTGGTTTCGTGCTGAAAAGTGCTGGGTCAGGATCATCTGTGTGTGGGACACCGGTGCTGTGTGCAGTGGTCCCCCCTTTGTGTAGAGTGCATGCAACACAGGCAAATAAGTCGTCCACTGGCAGGCAGAAGAAGGCAGCAGCAGGAGCAGCAGCAACAGCAGGTGTACGGCCGCCCCTGCCGGTGACAGCGGTGTCAGCGCCGAGTGCTGCTTTGCCGGCGCTTACCCTTGCAGCTCATACTTCAGCAGCAGCTCCTCTCTCGGAATCGACGAGACCAGCACTTGCACATCCTCGTCTATCTATGGTGGCAACGAAAAGCACACCATCATCATTACCTCCTCCTCCACCGCCGCCGCCTCGACTGTCACCCTCAAAAGATGTGCCGACTTTGGGGTCGAATGGTGGGAGCAAGTCCGCTTGCCTTTCTCCGTCGGTTGTAAAGCCAATGCCTCGGCTGCATCTGGTTATCAACGAGTACATGCGTATCATCCAGCACAAGCGTCGTTTGTTGTTGCCAACAACGGCGAGCCGACGAGTGAAGACAGAGGTAATTAATGTGATCACTGACGTAGCAGGTGCACCTGGTGGTGGAGGACTGAAAAGCTCGACCACGAAGGCTGCCATCGAAACTGGCAGGAAGCCTGCCTCTGCTGCGCCCCGTGCAAAGAGAGCTGACGACGTGGCAGGTTGCAGTGAAAAGATGGAAGAATCCCAGCCCTTATCAGCGTTAAATAAAGTCAATGTCTCAACGAAGGCCCCTGTCAATCAGGTCACCACGGCAGCATCTCCCTCTCTGCAATGCCCGATGTCTGCACCTGGTTATAGCACTCACGGAAATGCCAATGTTGCAGATGGGCAACACCAGGGAGAGATTGCCATTCCTGCCGCGATTCCAGTGCTTCCGACTGAGCAGCGCGGTTCCATTTGCCGATTTGCTGAACCAGGCAGTGCTTCCATTGGACCTGGTTTAACTGTACATGAGGCACAACTTGAGGGTCGGCAGCGAACCGGAGACAAACGGTCCAGGCCGTCTAGCGGTAGTGAAGTGGATTTACTGCCAGGGTCGGCTTCAGCCCATTCCCCTGTGAGACAAGGGTATCAGTGTCGAGAAAAGAAGCTGCGGCCAAACCAGCCAGGACAGGCGGAGGGAGAGCAAGGTCTGAATGCTGCTATACATTTTGAGGAGGACAACATAGTATGTGGTGATATGGCACCGAAGACAGTGGGGCAGGGAGGGGAGGAACAGTTGAAACACTTGCATGATAACAAGGATAGGCCTCAGGCTGGGGGAATGGATGGGGCCCCGAAGGGCATAGAGGGAGAGAAAGTAACGATGGGGGTTAATGCAACAACTGTTTCAGGAGGGGGGAAAGATGGAACGGGCTGTCTTTCAGGTAGGGAAACAGATAGGAGTGCACCGGTAAGATTAAGAAGTGGTGGATATGAAAAGGAGGGGACACATCGTGAGGGAAGTGGTCTTCACGGCATGCGAGCCGAAGATGTGAATCTTAAGAAAGCAGAAGATGTGGATGAGCGGAGAGTTGCAGCAGCTGTTGGTCACATAATCGAAGAAGCAGAAGTGGATGTTAAGCAAGCAGGACCAGGTTCGGATTGCGCAGACAGGAGGCCACCTAAAATGGAAGCAGGAGGACATCATGATGGAGGAATTCTTGTTGCAGTTGCCAGCGGCGGAGCTGCAAAAAGCCAGGATGGGGAGGAGGCTAAGACAGGCGTCTAAATCATCATTCCCTGGTGTGGGTCGTGTTTGAGGGAGCCTGCAGGGCAGCACAAACCAGCATGGCCACGAAAAAAAATCCAACAGGCCATAGTGCGGTCCATGCAGTTTGGTCGCGCCTGATGTCTACCAAAGAAAACATCCCTAAGGTACAGACGCTTTCAGGTGCAACACTGAAGGAAAGGGTTCGGAGGATCAGACACTATCAATGTCAATTGGATCAACAAGCAAAGAGGGCAAGTTTAAATGAATATATGTATATATCGTCAAACAGAAGTGCCCGGTAAAGCGTAGGCAGAGAGGAAGGGAGAAGAGGACAACAAACGAGGGGCTGTGACAAACTATTTCGTCGGAGTTTCACCGACTCATCAGGAGGCTGAACCCTCAACAGTCTGCAGAAACCCCCAACTGATTACAGTGTAAGTGATAATCCACCCTAACCCTCGTTGTGGTTAAGCATCAACGACTGCCCGACAACTGATACCTCTCTGAGGAGGTGGGCACCAACCACTGCTCTCAAGGTACCTGTGACGGAAATCAAAGCAGACTATCACTCGCGCACACTGGATGGAAAACTCTACAGACTGTATGTAATGTATATCCGCGTGCATGCATATCCTTATATGCCCTACTCATGCTTGTCTTCTTTGTCATCCTTGTTATTTTGTCATCCTCGCCCTCTTCTCTCCTTTACCCCTGTCTTTGCTCTGATTATCACCTTTTCATGAACGTATTCTTTGCTTTTGTCTCCTCTTTTCTTGAAGGAAGGACGGAAGGGAGGGAAGGAAGAAGGGAGGGAGGGAAGAGGGAGGGAAGGGAGAAGGGAGGGAGGGAAGAGGGAGGGACGAGAGGAGAGGTAGGTGTGGGAAGGGGAGGAGAGCGAAGGAGGGAGGAAGAGAGGGAAGGAAGAAGGACGAAGGGAGGGAGGGAGGAAGGGAGGGAAGGAGGTGGGAGGAAGGGAGGCAGGAAGGAACCGCGGGAGGAGGGGAGGAAGGTAGGCAGGAAGGGAGGAAGGACGAAAGGAATAAAGGACGAAACAGGGGAGGAAGGGAGGGAGATGGAAGGGAGGGAGGATGGAGAGAGGAAGGAAGGAAGAAAGAATAAAGAGCGGAAGGAGGGGAGGGAGGAAGGGAGAAGGAAAGGGAGGAGATGAGGAAGGAAGGAACAAAGGACGGAAGGAGGGAGGAAGGTAGTGCGGAAGGGAGGAGGGGAGGAAGGAATAAAGTACGAAACAGGGGAGGGAGGGAGGGAGGGAGGGAGGAAGGAACAAAAGGTCGGATGGAGGGAGGAAGGAAGGAGGAAGGAATAAAGGTCGGAAGGAGGGGAGGGAGGAAGGGAGAAGGAAAGGGAGGAGACGAGGAAGTAATAAAGGTCGGAAGGAGGGGAGGGAGGAAGGGAGAAGGAAAGGGAGGAGATGAGGAAGGGAGGAATAAAGGACGGAAGGAGGGAGGAAGGTAGGCCGGAAGGGAGGAGATGAGGAAGGAAGGAATAAAGGACGGAAGGAGGGAGGAAGGTAGGCC